GACAACGTTCCTGCATACTTGCTTAATTACCACCAGCATATTTTTCTTCTTTACTTGGCAGCAAGAATCTTTAAATCTGTCTAATTGGAATTAGAGGAAGCACTAGTGAGTTTTCCTTTTCCTGAGAGACAGCTGTCCTAAGCTTTTTACATCAAAATCAGAAGTTTAAAAATGAACTAGGTTCTAGAAGATCAAGCTAAAGCAAGAATTAAAAGCCTGGAAGACAATAGATAGCCACTTAAATGAGAGATTGCAGCCCCCTGATGCCGTGGAGAACCCTCTGCAAGGGGGACAGATGGGGCAATATGGGTGTTAACTTTTTCTTTTCCTCCTCCCTTCAGCATGCAGATACTGTGGGACACTGTGGGACCAGTATAAACTTTGCTCCAGCCAGCACTGCCGGCAGCTTGTCCTGACATGTCCAAGTTGTCGCAACAAAGGTCTTACGGCTTGCTGTCCTGTTTGTCAAGAGAAAGAGCTCAAGGTGACTTCAAGGGCTTCAGGACAGACACTCAAGGAGGAATGTGAATGTACAAGGAGACGGGCAAGGGTACCTATTGAACATGTCTCGCAAAGGATGCTGGACACAGGAAAAGATTAGGCTGTTTCATTAGCTAATCTGACATGTGCTAATGCAAAGGGCTTCTATAACCAGATCCCTATCTGTTAGTCAGTTAGATTTGGAAATCATGAAAATGTGTTGGCTTGGAAAGTCTTGTTCAGATGCTGCCTTTAAGCCTTGAGTATGCCCTGAAAACCATCCATTACTTGACCATAAATTACCAGAGTGCCCAACCCATCACCAGCACTACAGGATTCCTCTTCCTGCATACAGTCTTGTAGCATGGCCTCTACCATGGGGATTTTGGAGCAGGGTATGTGCAATGGGACACAGATGCTCACAATTCAAAAGAAACTGAAGGGACATAAGAACAATTTCATTTTTTCCTCCTGCATGGAGATAGATCTGGCTGACCTCTCTGTTGATCATGCATTTTCTTCAATAGCTAGTGCTAGAGTGTGAAAACAGCAGATGTATCAGTTGGGTGTGGGGTACATGACCGGATTAGAGCTGAAGATATTTTTCCACATACACACCATCTGCCTGCGTCTCTTGCTTTATACCAGTGAGAAGCAAGGGCTAGTTACCTGAAGTCACTGACTTGACTCTGGTGGAAAACTGGCTGAAGGCAGCGTAAGGACACCTCTTGCAACTGGAGCAAAGCCCCACAGATACTGTCTGCCCAGCCGTACTTGTTGTGTGTGACCTGTAGGATGAACAGCAAAAGTAATCCTCATTCCAGTGCTGTGTCTCCCTGGGAACTGTTGTTTCCCTCAACTTGTCAGGACATGAAATATCCAGGGCTCAGCTCTGCTTGCACTAGAAAAAAAATGACAGCTTGAAGCATGTTGAAACTGAGACACACAGAGAGGGGAGCAGAGAGACTGTCAAAATACCAGCATTATGGCACTGGAAATGATGCTGACACATGTGCATAAATGTCAGCGATAGCTATAAGGAGACTGCAAGATCCTTTATCCAACTTAAATAATTCAAGATTTGGGGAGCATTTGTGCTTTGTAAACATGGGTTGAGTTTTTCAAAAGCTGTGAGATGTTTATGTGATTTCCAGCTCCTATTAGTGGAGAAATTGTCTTTGAATTTGAAGGGATCCACAGCATATGAGCTCACAATACTTCTCCACGTGCTGCTTTGTATGCCTGATGCTGCAGAATGTACAGAAAGGTTTTATTAATAGTGTGGAAGATGTGTCTTGACTGAAAAATGTCTTTGAAACTTACTGTCATTCTTGGTACTCAACAGTAGTTAGTCATTAGGAAATCAAAATCACTTACTGGTTTGCTGGGGTTTTTTACTGGCAACTGCTTTTAAAAGCAAGAAAACAGTTTACTCAGGTTTCTGCAGTTGCTTGATGACAGTTAGGGCAATGTTCTTTTCATATAGATTGTAACTTTCTCCCACAGCGCTATGAATTCAGCAAGGCCTCATTGTTGGCTTGACTAGCAACTTAAAGACATGGTCATTGATTCCATTAAAGCTGTGACAAGCATTTCTTCTTACTTCCAGTATTGCTACCGTGAAATCAAAGGTTCAGCAACTGTTTTTATGACTGTTCCTTTCATGAAGCAAAACTGTGAAACTTACGAATGTCTCCTTTGGGAATCTTTCTAGGATGGTATTTAATAGTAAATCCGTGCACAATCCATACTGGAGAAGAAATTGGAAAATGTCCACCAGTAGACATCTTCAGCAGAAGTCCAGGCAGTACCCATGGTCCCCTGGCATCTTGCCTCCCAAGCTTTGCTGGTCAATTAAGCTCTGTGCTTTTGAGGACTGGAATATTTGTGGAGAAATAGGAATGCTCTGCTTGCAGGCCTGGTCTAGAGCACTGATGGGAGTGCCCCAACTTGCATATTATGCTCTTTTCTTCATGTATTAGGCTAAAAAGAACACAATTTTATAATTCAGTCTAACAGCAAGTCTGGAACACTGTAATCTGTTTGAAGGCTGTTTCTATATCACTTACCAGTACAGAATGGCAACAACTATGTTTTATATGTAAACTTCTGAAACTCCTATGATGATAAATAACCTTTAGTGCTTCCATCGTAATTTTTAAAGTACTGCACAAATACACTTCGCCTGTGTGTTGGAGGTGCTTAATTCTGCAGAGGTAAATGCTGAAACCTAGCTAGATGTCTGCCATGTGGTAGACCTGGCTACAAGGTACAATGGTCCTGAGAGCTCCTGGCAGCTGGAGATTCTACCTCAAAGGCAGAGGGGAGCTATGGGGCCTCTTCTGGTCCTTGCTGCACTAAGGCAAGGGACAAGAAGGGTTTGAGATGCACAGATGGAGGCCCGTAAAGCCAGGTTTCCTCTGCTGCAGAGAGGGCAGGGGGTGTAAGAGACATCCTTAAGTCTCCCTCTTGCAAGTTAGCTGCTTCTGTGTCCTGGCTTCTGGATTAGTTTTGTGAGATTAATACAAATAAGGACTTGCCATGTGAAATGCTGTAGGCTGTGATCCAGGCACCTCAGTGGTAATGCCTGAGAGAAGGCACATTAGTTCCAGGAGAGGTGAGAGTTAAGCAGGATTGGCTGTGACTGCCAGATGCTGCAGTCAGCAGATGGCTTTTTCCCCCTTTTCCTGGAGAGCTGCTGGGAGAGTGATCCATTTGCTCCTAAATATCACCATTTTGTAGCTCCATCACTGCACAGCTTGACGCCTTTCACCACAAAGCCTGATGCCTCTCAGCACAGCCTGTCTCTGCTGCATGGCACTCACATGCATCTTTCAGCAAAGCAGCCTCATAAGGATCAGCTGAGGAACCTGGAGGGATCCTGCCAGCTTAATATACATTTGGGCTGCATGGTTAATTTGGATGCTGCTACAGTGAAACACAGGACAAGGTTCTTGTTTCCCCCTGCCCCCCCC